ATAGGATGAGTTTTTGGTGGACTTTTTAGTTGTTGCTAAGAAAAAAGCTGGTGTTCAATGTGTACACTACCAAGTTTCCATGTGGATTCGAATTTGAGACCACTGACCTGCAAGTCAAGGCTATTTTTCACTGGGTTAGAGGAAAGTAAGGAAGCAACAGATGTAAACAAAAACAGCTTCCAAAACGAAAGAGACTAAACATGAACAAGAGGGTGGGATGATGATTTGCGGTTGTTATCTAACTGTATTTGTACTCTGATTATGTGCAAGCATTAGAATTGTTGTGTAAAATGATTTTAGCCATCCAGCTTGGAATGGCCCCCTTATCAGGAGTTATTTCTCTTGTGCTGCTTTCCTATTACATCCAAAATGTGATTGACTCGTGCATTTTTTTCAGCCACTACAGTTTGCTACCTATGCCATTTAAGTATTAGTCATTGACAGGGAAGATTGTCATCAGATAGTTCTATGCATTTCGGAACAATATATTAGACTGTTCATTTAGGGATTGGGACTTTTTCCTGCTTGAGTTTTATACGAGTTTTTCTTATATAGATCTCTGATAAGTATTATTTCATCCATTTGAATTGTCATTTTTGCCGCTTCTAACTAGATTTGAGTCCTTGCAGGAGGAGAAGGCAGCAGACCAGCCTAATTCCGTTTAATTTTTGGTGTGCCATCTGTCTTTTCTTTTGGGAACCACTCCCCTAGTTGTTTAGAGGATATTTCATATGATGTAGTCACTGCGGGCAGATTGTGTTTTTGGAGAGAGCCTTGTACAGTCGGATCACATATTCTTGGATTTTTTTTGCCCGGATGGAAGCTACCTATCAAAGTATTAAAAGGAGAACCACATGGATGGTCCCTGTGGTTTGGTATGCCAAAAGCTTGGATCAAGATCCAAGACCAGTGGTCCATGTGGATGAACTATGCGCATTAGCATGCTGGCTGCACTGTGCAGCACACAGTCAGAAATGCAATTGCCTCGAATTGTGCGGGCTGGGTGTTAGTTAAGTCGACAATAGCATCGTCGTTAAGGAACCGAGGCAATTGCCTCTCGTTTGTTCCCCCTTAATAGCATAGCATTGCTTGACCCTTTCGATGGAGCTTTGTTTTTTATGGGATTAGACACTCCTTACTATGATATCTTCTGATCAAATATACCTTGCAGATGAAGACACTCCCTTACTATGTTATTGTAAACTATTTAATTGCAAAATTTTGTTTTCTTAAGCAGGTGTATGGTAGATATACGACTCTTTATTTTTGGATAATCGTATGCCTAAACGTATAATTCTTCTCACGTTCACCATGAGAACCATGGACAGCGTAAATAAGAAACATGCGGACTGAAGAGTAGGTAAAGGCCGTCTGATCAGTTTTATTATTTAAATTTTTTTAAACGACCATGTAATTTGAGTGTGTTGTTAGTCTAGGGATAGGAATAGGATTGAATGATAGGATGAGTTTTTGGTGGACTTTTTAGTTGTTGCTAAGAAAAAAGCTGGTGTTCAATGTGTACACTACCAAGTTTCCATGTGGATTCGAATTTGAGACCACTGACCTGCAAGTCAAGGCTATTTTTCACTGGGTTAGAGGAAAGTAAGGAAGCAACAGATGTAAACAAAAACAGCTTCCAAAACGAAAGAGACTAAACATGAACAAGAGGGATCTACCAAAGAAGAGGATTGGTCCCCTTTTTTTTTTTTTTCTTTTGTCTTTTTTTTTTTTTTTTTTTGGAAGAAAAGGAGGATCCGTGAAAAAACGACGAAAGGAAAGAGATCCGACTGAATGAAAAGGAAAAAACAAATCATCGAGGGAGTAATCGAGATGCAGCAGCACAGACAGCAGCCAGCAGGATATTGATCAACGGAGAAAGAGACCTTCACCTTAGATTCCCTTCGCTACTTGCTATGCTACATTAAATCATCTTTGATATTAATTAAACCCATCAACAACTTGAGACCATAGGAGATGCGGATTCAAATTTGTTATGTATTTTAACATTGTAAACAGCAATACATAAACATGAGGTACAGAAATATTAGAATAAAATAGTACACCCTTGGGTTAATAAAACTGGTTAAGTGTAACTAAGCTTTCAATTGAAACGTCAATGGGGCCATGAGCCGTAAGCTTTAATTGTTTATGAAATGACGTGTCGGCCATATGAATTATTGTCAATGTCAACCTTCCCACTATTTTTAAAGCATTAATCTTTGGATACCAATGAGCTAATGGCTCTTAATTCAATGAAAAATGGTTTTGGTTTGCATACTAAAGGTTGCAAGTTTGAATCTCTAACCATCTATTTGGATGAAGGAATTGAAAATTATATCGAATTTTAAAATAACGGAATTTAGATTTCTTTCAAGTTTTAGTAATTTAAATTTTCAGTATTTGAATTTATGTGTCGAATTTTGTAAATGACAGTGTGGAAATTGCGAAATAACGGCTTTTTTGATGGAAATTAAACTCATAAATTTGATGTCTCAATTTTCACAACTTTTTTCGCGCATCATTTAATAAATTCCGCGCTTAAGTTGCCAAACAAGAGAATTGTCAATTTCTTCTCTTAAATTCACGACTTTTAACTAAATTTCGAGTCATTTTTACTCATCCAAACGGAGAGTAAGGCATCATAGTTGTGTGTCTATGAGAAATCCTAATTTAAAATATCGCTTGTATTGAAAAGAAAAAAAAAATTCATAAATAGAATTTATCACATCAGTTGGTGTTCAAAGATTAATGTCGTTGCTATTGCTCTTAAAAATTAGGTATTATGTAATTACATGTGAAACCTTAGAAACTTCATACAACCTTTTTTTTTGGTCGAAGAAACTTCATACAACACAACTTGTTTCTTTTTCTTTTTTTTTTTTCTTTTTTTTAAGGGTGTTTCTATGTAAACGGGAGATCCTGGGTTTATAATAATAATATATATATATAAGGGCACAATTTTTTTCATTTGCTCTGGGCCTGAAAATTTCAGGACCGTCCCTAATAATATTCCAAAACTTAACATATGAAAAATGAGACAAGTTGTAAACGGGAGATCCTGGGTTCGATTCCTGCCGTTGGTGAATCAAGCGATGAGGGCCAGGGACGGGGTGAAATTCCCTATAGCCTCTCCGGGTCCCGGAAGGGGTGGATGGCCGTGGCTTGCCACCAGCTGTCCCCCTTTTTAAAAAAAATAAAAAAAAATAAAAAGAACACAACTTGTTTCTAAGTATACCCGTATTACCCAAAAAAACAAAAGAGTATACTTGTATTAACAAAATTACTTTTTATAATTAATGCATATATTTACTTATCTATCTCTCTTGTTAAATGTGATAAAGATGGAGTGGAAAAGGGTATTGATTTGTCTACCAGCAGTGGCGAAGCCAGGATTTCATGTGTGTTGGGGCCTCTTACAAATTACAAAGAATCAAAAATTTGAACTCATAATACATATGAAAAATAGTATATATATATATATATATATATATATCACATATGTCAAAAATTATATTGCTTATTGGTTGCAACCATAATTGTCCTCGACAAAGGGATAGACAAATACATTTTAAGCAAGAAAAATTGTAAGAGATAGACAAAGAGTAGCGATTTAGCAAATATCTTTAAAGCTTTTTCCCCCATTAAAATAGAAAGATAAAATTAAAATTTCACAAACTAAAAAAAACCTTAGGTCCCTTTATACATTCATATCATATATGAAAAAAATGGTTTATGTAAAAATATTGACTAAGTATAAAAAATGGTTTTTCGAAATAATCATTTTATCGAGATAATTTTTGGCGGCTTTTATTCCTTACACATCAAATAAGAAAACTTGATTTTATGAGATTTTAGTATAAAGTATATATTGACTTAATGAGCCATCATTTTTAGCCTAAATCGTATTTTGCACTAAAACCGATTTTTTTATATTTTGATTTGGTGGGAATTTGATTTTCTAGTATTTTTATTTGAATCCAAATAGGAGGTACTTCCTTATTTACATTATAAACTTAAGTAAATGGAGTAATATAAAAATAAATGAAAGTAAAAGGACAAAAACATTTACTTAAATGCTGAAAATGGAAATAAGGTAATCTGTACACCTGGAGTGCACTACCACAAACTGAGCAAATGGGCAATTTAAAGCATCTCATTGTGCCTTAATAGATCCGCCACAACACATGCAGGTACATATCAAAACGTAAAGTATTTGAAATAATATATATATAGAAATACATAACAGTATATTACTTTTAAAATATATAAAAACTTAAGTGGGGGCCAGGGACCACACTGGTCCCGGTGTGGCTCCACCCCCTGTCTATCAGTGATCTCATGTTTGAACTTTCATGATATCTTTGTAGTTCGTATTAGAACCCTCCTTCCTATTTACTGTAGTTTTTTTTTTGTTTTTTTTTGGGGGATGGGTATCAATAGTTGTGAAAATGACAATTTTAACCAAAAACAATGGGGAAGTTGTTAAATAATCACAATGTTTTTGTCCAACAAAAAATCACTAGTATTTAACTTTTGTAGAAAAGAAATTAGAAATCGACTAAAATTGGATATGAAGGGTTCTTAATATAGAAAAAGAAAAAAGAAAATAAGAACCGAATAGAATGATTGGCCTGAGTGCAACATTTGGTTTTGAAAAAGAATGAATGAGAGACTGCCAGCAGCGCATAATACATAACGCGTTTAGTAAGGAAAAAAAGTAAGTAAATTACACACATCCAATTCAAAGGCACAAAACAAACAAAAAAACCACGGTGGACCAGTAATTGTAATTACAAGAAAATAAAAGAAAAAGAAAGAAAGTAGCAACTTGCAAAGGGAATGGGATAGAGAGAGAGAGAGAGAGAGAGAGAGAGAGGGGGGGAGGAAAGGGGTGGGTGGAATCTTCTTCTTTCCCTCAGTTTTCTCTTTTGCAGCGTCAGAGCAAACAGAAAAGAAAGAAATTCACAAAAAACTGACTGCTTGCTGTTGCTTGGGTACACAGTTTACAATTCTGCTATTTCTTTCTGAATTCATGTTCTTCTTCCTCTTCTTCATTTGACTTGCTGTATCTGTATGTATGCATAGATCATGGGGTAAATAACTAATTAATTAGGTTTGTTTAGTTTGCGTGTCAAAGATGTACTTCTTCTTCTTCAATTCTGAATTCTGATCTCTAATATTAATTATCCGAGCCTGGTCCCGAAATAACACCAGGACTTGAATAAGAATGAGAGCGATGCTTCCAGATCCTTTAAATCTTTTCACCTACACCTCTTCTTTCTTCATAAAAATCCTCATTTCCTTACGCGATTTGATATCCCAAGCTCTGACTTGCTGGTGCTCTTGTTCCTCTCTGGTCGTCTGCTCTCCGATTTTGTTGGTTTGTGGTAAGAATCAAAATAATTCACGGTCTTCCCTTTTTCTTTTCTTGTTCTTGTTGTGCGTCTTCTGGATTAGAAGAAGTTTTTCACCATCTTTATTTTCAAAATTATTTGTTTCTTTGGTTGATCGGAGGTGCTCTTCAAGTTCCTGTCAAAATTTGATATATATATATTTTTTTCCTGTTCTGGTTTGGAGTATTTATATTTTAAATGGTCTCATGGAATTTCTTTGGGTTTTGAAGAACAATATTTAAATTGTTGGATGGCTTAGATCTGGGAAGTCATGCTAAAATCTTGATCTTTTTGCTATGGTCTTGTGACAGTGACCGAAGAGAAAAAGAGAAATGGAGGAAGTAAGGTATTGGTGTCACGCGTGTTCTCAAATGGTGGATCCCATCATGGAAGTAGAAATGAAATGCCCAATTTGCCAAAGCGGATTTATTGAAGAAATGAATAGCAACACGAGGGACAATCATGAAGCTGACTCTGATTTTGGATCAGATCGAGCCCTCTCCCTCTGGGCACCAATCTTGCTGGGAATGATGAACAATCCCCATCGACGCCGAAGATTAAGACGACTAGACTTTGATGAGGATGAGGATGATGATAATGATGATGGCGAGGCCCGCCATGGCGGAGACACTGAATTGGACAGGGAACTTGAATCAATCATCCGAAGGAGGAGGAGAAACTCGGCTACTATTCTACAGCTGCTTCAAGGCATTCGGGCTGGCTCGGCATCTGAGTCTGAGAATTCTGAGAGTGATAGGGATAGGGATAGGGATAGAGAGAGAGAAAGGGAAAGGGAAAGGGAACGAGTAATTCTGATCAATCCTTTCAGTCAAACCATCATTGTTCAGGGTTCTTACGATTCGAATCATGGCCAAAACAACAATCACACCCCTATGGGTTCATTAGGCGATTATTTTATTGGGCCTGGTTTAGATTTATTGCTGCAACATTTGGCAGAGAATGATCCTAACAGATATGGGACTCCGCCAGCGCAAAAGGAGGCAGTGGAAGCTCTGCCCACTGTGACAATCAAGGAGAATCTGCAGTGTTCAGTGTGCTTGGATGATTTTGAGGCTGGTGTAGAAGCAAAAGAGATGCCATGTAAGCATAAATTTCATAGCGGGTGTATTCTGCCATGGCTGGAGCTTCATAGTTCCTGTCCAGTATGCAGGTTTCAGTTGCCTGCTGATGAATCCAAACGCGATTCTGATAATTCTCGGAACAGCAGTGACCAAAGGGAGAGTGAAAACATAGGTGGTGATGGTGGTGGGGTGGAGGGAGATGGGGATGGGAGAAACGGAAGCGGAAGAAGGTTTTCAATTCCATGGCCTTTCAATGGTCTGTTTTCTAACTCAGGATCTCAATCTAGTGGCAGTGGGGGTAATTCTTCCTCAGCAGCAAATGCAACTGGAAGTGGAAGCGCTTCTCAAACAGATGAGAATTGAGTATATTTTCCATTAGTTGAGTTGAGTGGCTATATCAAGTTCTTGTCCATTATGTTGCTTCAATGGTCTGCTTGTGTACATAGTATCTTACTTGAATGTGAATCTGGGAAGTTCAAATTGTGCGTTTATGTGTTTAAAAAGAGGGGTGGTCTTTTGTTTTGTAGATGTTTTGGCCTCCTACACACCTATAAGAACTTCTACTGTTGCTATATTTACTTGCTCTTGCTCATGTATTGCTTTCCTCTAGCACGCTAGCTGCTTAATTTGAAAGTTTCAGCATCCTTGGACTTTTGGCTTGTTTGAATTGACAAATGAATTGATGATTATAGACAAGACTTTGAAGGTGTAGCTGCTAGTCCTCCTATTGCTCATTTCTCATTGCATGAGTAACAAACTGCAACATGCCAATTTTGAAATTTGACGAAATTTAACAAATTTAAAAAAATTATCTCGGGATCCTCTTACTTGAGAAGTGATTCAGGAAGATAACCCTTGATTATTATTATATCCCCGACAATTATACGCGAAAGAAAGCCAGCCGTGTGAACTGAATTGTATGCACTCAAGAATATATTTTGTTTGATTGAATTGTTTTATGTTGGATCATGGGATGGAGCATATTCAAACTATACATTTTGTTGCACAAATTCAAGTGGCATGAATGCTGTGAATTAAAGAACATTCCAAGTTTCATGTGGTAATGAATTTACCAGTTCCACGCATTTGGTTCCCTGCAGATTACAGAAACAGAATCAAGCTCTGGCATATGCAGCAATTCCAAACAGGATTATATTACGATGAAAAAGCACATCAATCAAGAATAATGAACACGAAATTCAGCAAAGTAGGAAAATGTATTCCCTTAAAGAGAATATAGCAAATAATCCTATTAGTATTGCATAAAGTTCCATATCGCACTCAGCAATTATGTAGCTATCAAAGCCAGCTCATCACAAAGATGGATGGCAGTAGGTAGATGTTTTTGCATCCAAAAACATATTAAATGAGGCAAAATCATAAGCATTGTCATTGGCTAATTCTGAGAACGCCAAAAAGGGCAGCAAAAAAGTTATCGGGATGATCATCACTTCACAGTCAAGATCTTGATCACAGATGCAGTTCCATCACGGTGCAGAGCCACAACAGCATCTCCATTCTTGCAGAGCCCCTTCGTCTTAGCATGTTGAATGGCAAAGTCCAGTGCTTCGTCAGTCGTCTCTGCATGAGAGGCCCTGGAAGATCCTGCACTTAAAACTGGAACCAGGCCACGGAAAATTAGACTATGCCTTGCTGGAGCTTCATCACTGCATGACCAGTCAAAGCAATCGGTCTTGATCTCAGGGACAACAACAGATAGTATAGGCATGCCTGGTCTGTACTTAGCCACCAGTTTTGCGGTACTTCCTCCTCTGGTTAGGACCAAAATAAGAGCTGCTTTGGACGAGTTGGCTGTTTTAACGGCAGAAGAAGCCAGGCTCTCTAATGGGCTCATGGGCACGGGAGAATGATCCATAATCCTTTTGAAGACATCTCCATAATGAAGGGTACTTTCTGCTTCTACACATATTTTTGCCATGGTCCGAACTGCAAGTTCAGGATAAGCTCCTGCAGCAGTCTCACCACTTAACATCACACAATCTGTGCCATCTAGAACCGCATTGGCAACATCAGTAGCTTCAGCCCTAGTTGGACGTGGAGATTTGATCATTGACTCCAACATCTGTGTTGCCGTGACAACGGGTTTTCCTTGGATGTTGCACTTATAGATCATCACTTTCTGGGCAAGGAAGATCTTTTCAATTGGAATTTCCATTCCAAGATCACCTCGTGCCACCATGAATGCATCTGAATTTGCAAGGATGTCATCAAAGTTCGCCACCCCTTCCTGATTCTCTACCTACCAAATCAAATTTTGAAGTAAGAACCAAAGAAGTAATCGAAACTCACCTGTTAATGGATAAGAAAATAGATACATTGCAAAGAGTCACATAGTTTTAGTGAATGTCTCAAATACTATCCGAATAATGCCACATGATCAGTAACCCTCTTTCCATACATGCTTTTACTCTCAAATGAATCGATGCATAATATTTTGCTAACCAAATGGCACCAACAATTCTGTCTGAAGTCGAAAGCAGAAAAAAAGAAGCAGAATCCAAAATGAGTCAATTTATGGTTCATGAAAATAAGCATACCTTTGACATGAGAAGGATATTCTTAGAATGCTTTCCAAGGAGCTTCCTAACCTCCACAAGGTCGGAACCTTTCCGAACAAAAGACAGAGCAATCATGTCAATCTTATTTGGAACTCCCCACTTAAGAATATCTTCTTTGTCCTTCTCTGTTAAGGTCGGGAGATCCACTACGACCCCTGGAAGATTAACGTTCTTTCTCTCACCGAGAACAGCAGAGTTCTCACAGCGGCATTGAACCAAACCCTTTTGCTTGTCACAAGATAAAACCAAAAATGAGATAGTGCCATCAGCGCAGAGTATCATGCTCCCTGGCTTGACATCCTCAGCCAACTTCTTGTAGCTCATGCAAATGGTAGTTTCATCACCCTTGATGGTATAGTCAGTGGATATGGTGATCTCTTGGCCCTGTTTGAGCTGGACTGGTTTGGCATCCTTGAGAAATCCGGTTCGAATCTCTGGACCCTGTGTGGCAGTAAATGTGGGAAACAAACAAACAAACAAACAATCAATCAATCAATCAACCAATCAGGTTTGGTTCACAATGTTTTCCATCAATTTAGAAATGGGTAGGATTAATATTAAGCCATTAGCATTTAGCGAATCAAAATCGTACACCCAGTAGGAAATTTTTTTATAAAAAAAAAAGAAATGGAAAAAACAAAATCAAGCACAAATTTAATAGGGCTCTTGTGTGTGAACCCTAAACCCAAACATGAGGAAACAAACAAGCAAGCAAACACAAGAAAAGAAAACAAAGAAAGAAACAGAGAATTAAAGAAGGCAATGCATGACTTGTGAGTGAATCCGAGAAATTCGGATCAGATGGGATCGGGAGGAAGAAATGAATGGGGAGGGGTAGAGAGAGAATAGACCTTGGTGTCGAGCATGACGGCGCATAGAATACCGGTGGATTCCATGGCGGCCCTGAGATTGTTGAGGGTCTCCTGATGGTATTCGTGGGAGCCATGGGAGAAGTTGAAGCGCGCAACGTTCATTCCGGCCCTGAGCAGCTTCTCGACCATGGGCACCGAACGCGATGCAGGTCCTAGCGTGCACACGATCTTCGTCTTGGGCCTCTGATCCATTTTCCTATTCTCCTTGTATTTCCGCCTTGGAATCTTCTTCTTCCTCTTCTTTTTTGAGAGTTTGAGAGTTGACGATTTGGAGGAGAGTTGGGGGAGAGTTTGAGAGTTGTGTGTTTTGTCAATGAAAGAGCCAACTCAATCTCAATATCAATCTCAATCTCAATGAAAAAAGAAAGAAAAATAAAATAAAAATAAAATAAAAAATAAAAAAGGTGGGCTATAGGCTAATAGGTTTTGCGATCTATGGTCTGTGTGTGGAGACTCCTGTGTGTGATCCGTGGTCTGTGAGATTATATGAGAGAAAATTGTAAAATAGAAGAGCGAGAAGCGTGTTCGCCGATGCCACTCTGTTTTTCTCTCTTTCTTCTTTCTTCTCTTTTAATATTTTGTTTCCTTTTTATAAACAAAACAAAACAAAACAGAACAATAGAAGCAAGCAAGCAGCATAAGCATATTCCCTTGCTTCTTGGGCAACAAGGTAGCTTATTTTATCAGCCAAGCCCCTCACAAATTAAAATAACAAGTTTTTTTTATATTTGGAATCAAATTCTATTTCATTAACTTTTTTTCTTTCTTTCTTTTCTTCCTTCTTTTTAAGTAGGCAGGTTCAAATTACGCATTGAGTGAAAAAAATACTTTATGTAAAACAAGACAATTCCTTCTTTCTAAGTAGGCGGGCGCAAATTAGCAACAATTCCTCCCTCTAAAGAAGGAAGAGGACCTTTGGGGAAAAGAAAAAAAAAAAAAAGAGGAAGGATGAGGACCGACTGAGAGAGACGACTAAGGTAAAACGAGAAAACTAGGCGCCAAAGCCTTGAGTCCTACTCATGCCAAGTCCACAATGGCGTCACAGCCATTGATATTATTGTCATTCTTATTATTTTTAGGGTTTATAATTGGACGCAACGCAACCAACTCCACGTTCTCTTCTTTTTCAGACAACAAAAAAACTCCACGTTTTTATACTCTTTTTTAATTTCATGTTCACTGGCAATTTGGCATAGCAAAAGGTAGGTAGGTATGCAGGCAGCAACAGCAGCGGGCTCTGTGGTGGGGCCTTGGCTTGTTCGAAGCTGAGAAAGCGAGAGAAACCATTTGTTTGTGCTGCCTGTATGTACCTGCACTACAATAACAATACAAGTGGGAACGGTTCTTTACACGTGTCCTTTGAGCTATCTCTGACTTTGACTGACCGGTGGGTGGGTCACTGCCTGCAACCTTTTTCTCATCATCCATTGGTTTGGTTCGTCTCATTTCAGTCCGTTCGATGGGCAGAAACCAGAAGGGCAAGAAATTTTCCTTTTTTGGATGCGCCGTGGTATCGCACTTTTCAATACCACATACCAACCAAAACCAATTGCCCCTCTCTCTCTCTCTCTCTCTCTCTCTCTCTCTCTCTCTCCCCTAAGTTAACCAGCACATAGTAAAACGAAGAGTTAAAACACTTGTTTGCTCAGGCAAGAGGAAACACCACAAAACAACAGGGACCCTTTATGTTAGAGATTACCAACACAATCCCCCCACCCCAATACCTTTTTTTATCGTCAACAACAACTACAACATTATCATCCACAGTTTTATCATATCCAGCTGTAAATAAAATCCCTGGGAGGGACTCGGTAAAAATATTCAGATAGTGCGGGAAATTCAGAGACAACTACTTTGTATCTTATATTATCATATTTCGAATTACTACTCTAAGCTCATTTCAAAAAATGTATCAGACGGAAGAGGAGAGAGGATCATATCATTCATTTCAATATCAGTTTTTGCCAAGTCACATTTTGCATTTTAAGGGCTCTCCTCCATCCAGAAAACAAAGGACTCTTCCATTTCAGGGGATGGGATGACGCCCCCACTCGAAAACTTGCTTGATATCCTTCAAACCACCTCTCTGAAAGGCAACGTGCAGCATCCATTTATCATTTAAGATAAACATAACATAAGATCACTCCAGCCAGCTGCACCTTGCTGTGTAAACCCATCACCACAATTTAAAGTTCATCGTGGCCTTGCGGTTGTTCTTTGTTCAACAACTCTAATTTG